TGAAGAAGTGAGGTTCTTACCCACGAAAGCTTATGCTCCCAGTACTTCTGTTAGAGAAAAAGTAGATATCTTGGCTGTGAAACTTGCCGCTGAGTTAATAGCGTACATAAAAATGGCCCAAGGGTCCATCTAGCCCAGTATCCTGTCTTCCGACAGTGGTCAGTGCCAGGTGTCCCAGAGGGAATGAGCAGAACAGGGAATCATCCATCCCCTGTCGCCCATTCCCAGCTTCTGGCAAACAGAGGCTAGAGATAAAATTCCTGCCCATCTTGGCTAATAGCCATTGAGGGATCTAGCCTCCATGAATTTATCTAGTTCTTTTTTGAACCCTATTATGGACTTGGCCTTCACAACATCCTCTGGCAAGGAGTTCCACAGGTTGACTGTGCGTTGTGTAAAGAAATACTTCCTTTTATTTGTTTTAGACCTGCTGCCTATTAATTTCATTTGGTGACCCCTAGTTCTTGTGTTATGAGAAGTAATAAAGAAGTCAAATCTCAAACCTCAAACCCTGCTGATTATTCTCCCGTGATAGTTCAGACTTTTTTAAACTTCTCTATAACACACTTTTATTTTTGTCTTGTGACAGATTGTCATCTCTGGTGATCTGTTTGAAAACAAGAGACAATTAAGTTAAAAAGAGAAGAGGGCTCATCAACCAGCTGATAGTTCTTCCTGTGCGCTCCACTCAAGCAATAATTAGTACTCTATATCAGCATTGTTTTGCATCAGATCTTTTTAACAGCCCTTTCAGCTTCTGTGTATAGCTCATATACATAAGCATATTCCGAGAATGCTTACAATAAAATTGGTAGCTGATAATGTTGACACTGAAGCTTGTAACTGACAGTGTAGCTCCTGATACCATCACATTCAGCTCCTCCAACTCCTTTTGTCATGGTGGTCTTGCTTCAGAGCTTAAGGGAGTCTGGGGGCACGGACAAGAATTACAACTCACCCTCTCTGCTGTGGAGAAGAGCTTAAAATTAGGCTTTCAACAATAATGACTTTGATAACCTAACTTTTAAGTGTTGCTTATTTCAGTCATATAAATAAGCTGTGCTTTCTAGGGTTGGTCTATACTTAAAAGTTAGTTCAACATAGCTACAACAGTCAGGGTGTGTGAAAAATACACACCCTTGACTGACAGAGCTATGCCAACCAAACCCTCAGTGTAAATGCAGCTATGTTGATGGAAGAAAACTGACTTTGTTCAGAGAGGTGATGTTTCTAAACACATGGAAAAAACCTTCCATTGGTGTAGGCTGCATCTAAACTATGGGGTTATGACACCTTAGCTACATGGACATAGCTAAGCCAATGTAGTCTCTGTAGTATAGATACAGACTATGCTCTGGAAAACCAGTGCAGACTAAAAATCATTCATATTATGGGGTTGCTGGGAGGAAATACTGCCAGAGCTCCCAGGCCTTTAAAAGTAAATGAAAATCCAGATTAATTATGACAGGTTTCAGAGTAGCAGCCGTGTTAGTCTGTATCCGCAAAAAGAACAGGAGTACTTGTGGCACCTTAGAGACTAACAAATTTATTAGAGCATAAGCTTTTGTGGACTACAGCCCAAGAAGAAGTGGGCTGTAGTCCACGAAAGCTTATGCTCTAATAAATTTGTTAGTCTCTAAGGTGCCACAAGTACTCCTGTTCTTTTTGCAGATTAATTATGTTACATATGGGGAGGCCTTAAAGAACTCCCAACAGGAGAATACAGAGAAAGCACTACTTTCATTGCTGCATTATCTGACACCAGAGATGCTGAAAGAATTCTGGTGGTAGCTCCAGACAAAAGTCTGCTCTACAAAGGATTTTGATAGTCCCAGATCTCCGCTAGGCAATACTGTTGCTATGGAAAGAATTTATAGTAATTCAGACAGACTTCACACATAAGGCTATGTTCTGCAAAAGTGGAAGATTTATACAATTGAGGGTCCTGTGTTATTTCAAGGATGTTCTTTTGGCAAACAAACTCCTGGGGAAAATCAAACTAAACAACTGATGGCAAAGTTGAGTTCAAATTGGCTATTTCGTTCTCTGTGGAGTAGCTGTATGAAGTCTTGTGTTTTTAAAAAAAAGCTTCCTGTTTTTTTCCAGCATTGAGACCATAACTTCTGTGATAGCTCAATGTGCAAATGCTCTAATTTTCTTATGGCACTGTAAGTGAATCTTTATTAAACTTCCATATAATCCAATGTAGTGCCAGACAGCTCACGTTGTTTGTACTTTAGCAAAGTGATTTATAGCTGACAAATACCGATTGATCATCTTATTTCTCAGGTAGGTGGGTAATGATGTATATCAGGATCATAGAATCATAGAACTGGAAGGGACCTCGAGAGGTCATCTAGTCTAGTCCCCTGCACTAGTAGCAGGACTAAGTATTATCTAGACCATTCCTGACAGGTGTTTGTCTAACCTGTTCTTAAAAATCTCCAATGATGGAGATTCCACAACCTCCATAGGCAATTTATTCCAGTGCTTAACCACCCTGACAGTTAGGAAAATTTTCCTTATGTCTCCCTTGCTGCAATTTAAGCCCATTGCTTCTTGTTCTATCCTCAGAGGTTAAGAAAAACAATTTTTCTTCCTCCTCTTTGTAACAACCTTTTACATACTTGAAAACTGTTATCGTGTCCCCCCCGTCTTCTCTTTTCCAGACTAAACAAATCCAAGTTTTTCAATCTTTCCTCATAGGTCATGTTTTCTATACCTTTAATAATTTTTGCCGCTTTTCTCTGGACTCTCTCCAATTTGTCCACATCCTTCCTGAAATGTGGCACCCAGAACTGGACACAACACTCCAGTTGAGGCCTAATCAACGCAGAGTAGAGTGGAAGAATTACTTCTCGTGTCTTACTTACAACACTCCTGCTAATACATCCCAGAAGGATGTTCGCTTTTTTTGAGGTCCGCATCTACTACTGTTTTACTCTAAATGCTCATTACACTCATTCTATAACAGTGAAATTCATCTCAGTGCAGAGGGACAGAACAAGACCTGTGCACATCTAAGCCT